GAACCAAGTTTTCCAGTTTGCCAGTGGTGATAGCCGGTGATTTCCGGCACTCTGGGCATATACACCACATCCATTTACATGGGGACTTCCTCATAAAGCTGTGGTACTGCCCCGGTAAACCATTATCATAGCTACAGTGTACCCATCTGAGACAGATGTTGCACGCAAAGGCTTTCTGACAACATCGATTCTTTGCAAACACCACAATCGTCAGAGGTTTGCTTTTTGTTGACGACGGAGTGGTTTACTTTCTGTACGGTGACGTCAGTCGTGGCGCGTTTAACCCATGCATTATTCTCCACCAATGGTATGACTGCAGATGTGCTGCTACAAGGGTCTGCCGGTTTCAATAAATGTTGCGCCTGACGTGGCACTGCTATGGGGACCTTAGACGGTGATTGTGCTGCTGAGCCCATCTTTTTAGCACAGATTGGATTCCGTCCACCTGCAGATCTCGTTATACGGTTAAGGGCCTGCAATCTGGTACTTTGAACCATACAAATAATGTAAATTAGGAGGAGAATGAAGCGTAAAGTAGATAGCTTACCAAGAGGAACTTGTACTCGGTTTCTCTCTATCAGTAACTTTGACCGAATACTCTAAATGCACATGTAAAGACCAAGAAAGATATTTCTTGGTGAATGATCTCCGAAGGGAACCAAAAGCTATAGCATTTGAGCGGTCCAGACGACTACGAATCACCAGCAGGAAGTACTTCCCAGTTGAGAAGATAGTTGCGTTGTTGTACGTAGCAATTCTTGCGTCCAGTTGATTAACTGAATCGCGTTTACTGTTACGATATGGTTGCCAACTGTTTTTCGGTGATAGATATCGTGGTGTTGCCTCTAGATTGGATACGAACAAAGCACGACGCATTGCCTCTAGACTGCATATGAACAAGGTACGACTGAGGACTGTACGTTCCGTAGCAAAACGTTTTTCCGGTGACACTGTAACTTTCGTAAAGGAAGTATCCGATTGGGGAGGCTCATATATGGTTATTTCCGAGCAGAATACAGGCAAGACAAAACACGTCATTATTCAAAGAGCGCACCAACACGATTGGCGCGAATAGGTGAAGCCTGAAGGTTTAGTCTTTCACCATTTGATTCTTATCCTTCTTCTTCACCTCTGTCGTGTGCAAGAAGACCCCTTCTGTTACCCTGCTTTCAAGTTTCAAACAGTTTGTCGTAGAATTAGTAAAGTGGTATTTCCATGTGATTCACGTCCGTCTTATCTGAACACATTTTTGGTTTGTATTGGTCCCAGTTGTCTTCCTGACTACGAGAAACCCGAAGGGGCATAAGTAATTGATTATTGATTGTCCTGCTCGCCAGAGGTGGTGTCTCCCCTCCAGATTTTTTGATGACTAGAAGCTAATTGAGTACAGTCCACTGGTACCACAAGAAGCTATTTGTGTCTCCAACCTCCTTTGTAAAGTCCCCTGGGAAGGGGCTGCATACACCTCTACAGCAAGGGAGTTCAACAGTCCACATGCTATGACTGTAAACCTAGTAGCATTAGATTTTTTCACATGCTGTCTCATGTTCCACCCTTGATGCGTGGCCGCTTGCGTGGGGTTTCTCAATAGGAATTGTCTTAGACCCATTATCTAATACCCCTCAGCGAACTACTGTAAACCAGTTGATTTCTCGTTCAGTTCCTTATCTTGCTGGACAGTTCCAGGTCTTCAGTGAATTCCGATGTCCGCTTGCTTGCCTTAGATCTGGTTAGCAAGACGGGGGATTGGGTGTTGAATAGCTTTCAGGGCTTGCAGGATCTGTCCACCGACTGTGTTACAGATGAGTTCTTCAAGATCCGTTCCACAAAACAGTTGTTCAGGCCGGTTGTAGAAAAAGATAGGGAGGAAGAACAGATTTCCGGCGAAATCCACAGGGAGAGTGAGAAAAACGCCGCGAAAAGGTAGGACGGAAGTAAAGAAGCCTGGATACATCTGCGACGGATAACTGTGACGGAGAGAACCTTGATATATATGGAAAGATCATAGAACCAAAAGGAAAGAAAGGTGCAAGTAAGATTGTAGGACGGATTACGGGAACGGAAATAGTTATGTCGTTAGTGTGAAGGTATAGTTGAATGTGTTTTGATTTGTTCTTGTAATGTATTCAAAAACACTGACCACTCATTTTGTTTAACTTCATTCAATTTGCTTGTACAACCATATTTAACCACTTGTTTCGATTAGTGTTACAAAACTTATACTGTACAAGGTTATGGTTCGCCCAGTATTAGAGTACTGCACGGTTATCTATGGTAACATGAAAGTATCGGACAGAATCCGAGTAGAGAACATTCAACAAAACTTCACTCGGCGCCTACTAAGACAAAACGGAGGACTTGCATACGAAGCAAGATGCAAAAGTCTGGAACCAGAATCACTCTGGCTGAGACGCCTGAAGCTCAGCCTGACATTTCTTTTTCGCCTTTAATTTGGAAACTCTAAAACAAAACGTGCTATCACTTTTAAGTCAACACAGACATATAATCTGCGTAATGGCGAGTACGTCATCCCAATAAATAAGTATCGCCCAGGACTTCGATGTAGGTTTTTCATAACGCAATACAGTGTGTTGTGGAACAAACTTTCCGCTCCTGTACGAGCATGCCGATCTCCCGGCCAGTTTCAACGATTATTTAGTGAATTCCTTCTATCTAACGATTCCCATCAATTTGTTGACGTCCAAACCACAAACGGTAATACCATATACAATGGTGCCACTGGTATGTGGACTCAAGTGAGACTAACAGCAATGATAAAAGTGTACAATATCGAAAACCAAACACATCAATTAAGTTAAAATCTAATTTCTAGAAATGAAAAGTGACCAAGAGTGAACAGGAAGTGGAGTGCGATACGATTTGCAACGATGAACTCAGTAGCTACTCTAATGTAACCCATATTTCTTCATAACCTAACTGATCTCACGACTTAACACCTATTTCCTAAAATTCGTCCCTTAAAATAATCTCTCTACTCCTGTTTGATAAGTGAACTGTCTATTGGTGCATTTTCATAGCATGCAACATGTTTTATTATTCGCTTTTTGTTATAAGTACTGACGTGTAAGTACTCTGCACCAACACATTGTTTCGGTAGCTCCGATATGGAAATACTCAAAAGGCAACACCATGATCATCCCCTCGTGACTAGATAAGGTGTGGTTACCATCTTAGAAAAATCCATGAATTCCACTCAAATGTTTATAACTTCATCAAACTTTTGCACATAGGTTTGTAACAAGTGAACACCCGGCCCAAAATCCTCTAATCTCTCTGTTTCGTAGCGACATCTTCGGCTTCAGACTAATTTTCATTACCGTCGTGAGCACCTTCATCTTCTTCCACTTAAGCTTGCCTCTAAACAGTTGGTTTTGGATACTTCTCCAAGTAGGTTTTGTAGTCAGTGCAAAGAACTCACCTAGATGTATCATGTTTGATCTACTCCTGCGTATTTTTGTGCTCCTGTTTCGAATTTCATTTGCTGCTCTCTTTCGTCATCCACTTTTAGGTTTGTCCAACCAGAGCTGTATTCAAACGGAATCCTAGAGATCGCATTTGTCAGCGTGCACCTTTCCATCAAAGCCTTATGATGAACGCGTATAACCCAGATTCATGACAGTAATGCGGCCCCACCTTTCAGAATATCGAAAGATTAAAACAACAACCGAATAATTCCTAATTTCGAACTGAGCCTGCTTCAACACACCTCTTGTGTGCCATGAATAACGGTATCTATTGTATAGCTTGACATTGTACTATGTCATTTCTCATTACCAAAATGATCAAACCTGTAAACTGGTTCGTATTCATGTCACCTATGTTGTATAAAATACATATAATTTTATCTCTAGGTTCTGGTGAGCTGAGATAAATAATGTCTTGTTATTTGTACTCATCAACTACAAACAAATAACCCTGCTTACAGCACTGTCTATGATGCTTGTAAGCCATATAGATGTCCAGATGATTTTGGGATTTGTCCTTGTGCGAACTCGACAGACGCAAAGACCATTCACTAACTATTTGGACCTGTTATATACCCACGAGTACGAGACCAAGGAAGAACACAATAGCGTAGTCGGATGGAATAGTATATTTGGGTGGATGTGCCAAGATACCGATGAGTTCCAAGTAACTGGTTAGAGAGTCGAATACGAGCAGTGCAACGTAACACGACAGCGTGCCAAATGGCCAGGATACTTGGCCTATGTTGTATGAAATATGTATGTATATATTGTAACTGATGTGCAGTCGCACTTCTCTTTGTGAGTTTGCGGCCCCTGGAACTCCTTGCTTGCCTAGATTTCTACTGCTCCATCTGTTGACAGCTTCAAGAAGAAGTTGGACAGTTATGCAGCGACGCATGGCTTACGCTCATCCAGCTGGAATGTGGAGTGGGCTGACACGGCCTACTAACTCACCACGGGCAACATATTGTAAAATACTTTGTAACATCTCATTCACTGGGAGCCCAGCTCAAACTTGTACTTCCATATAGACTTCCCGTCCAGTTACTGCCTCCTACCAATAGAATTACTATCTCTATTCTCATACGTCCTTTAATGTTATTTACTCCTTTTCCTCCCGACTTTACGTTTCTTTTTTCCTAGTTTTCTTTTTTTTCTTTTTCTATTTGCTTCTCTTTGCGCTTTCTCTCCCTATATCTCTCTGGACATATTTCCCATCTCCTTTTTACAGCCAGTCCAACCAACTGTCTGCTGATACGATACTTGAAGATTCCGTCTGAGCCTGAGTCATCGGGAAAACAAGCAAAAACACTCTCTACAAACTTAACCAACACCCAACCGCCCTTCGGGCCAATCAGCGCTACAGCAGTCGAGGGGGTAGACCTACTGCAGGAGAATAAATGAAAGACCTGAAACCGTTCCGCAAGACCTAGAAGCGAGCTCGAAGTAATCAAATGGCTTACAGTAGCTCCTAAAAAGGTTTTAGATATTGGATACAATGGTTCGTCGGATCTCTTTAGCCGGTAAATATAAGTCGTGCGCTACCAGTAAATCGTGGTAGGTATAAAGTTTGGTCGCTGTGGTAGAATTTAACGCCATACTGAACAATTCCCTTTGATACTGCCTAAATTATCATAACTTCTCTGTCACAGTAAATAATACCGGATGTAATACCAGATAGACTAAGCTCGTATGGGGTTGTGTTGTAAGACGAAAACATAAATTTCTTTTCGCCACGTTACGCTCCAGCTATTTTCAAGTCTTAACGTGACCAACTACTGACTCAAGATCGATTAAGTTCTGATTATATGTTTATCTGACCTTTAGAGTAATCGTACGGCGCATATTTGTGTAGTTTGAGGAAATGAGCATTATTTCGCTTACTATCAAGACATATTTGTAATTTTTTCTTCTCAAAGAAAACTCTGGCGGGACGCGCATATTGCAATAAAAATTCAGAGGAAATTTTGTGATAGGGGGGGGGGAGGGCGCAAAAACTTCGGGAAGTGTTTGGGGTGAACATGCAAACTGTGGAAACTACAGAGAGTAGCTGCTTCGTCTCCCGAAATTTCTCCATTCTCTTGCATAATTTTCGAGTTTCGTTTCAACCTGGAGGATAAGGACGTCAAGCTGGATATTAGTTTGAAAGAGTTCAGAAGCACTCGTTAACGTGTCTGCCTGTTTGTCGATATTGACTAGTATTGGTATCATCGATAGAAGCATCGAGAACAAGGTCCTGTTCACTTGACGGTTGTTTTTTATCCCATTGAAAAATTCAATTTGACTGTAATATCATGCCATGTTGTGAATGAACAGTAATCTTTGACTTCACAGTTGGATGCTAGTTATCGATGAATCGATGGAACTATAGAATTTTGTCGCCGTTAAACGACTATTAGATGACCCTAAATTGGCCTATCAAGTTAAACTTGACTGTGATCATTCTGAGGAGCTTAGAATTATTGACAAAATGTCACTGGACTGAGATAAATATATGCATAGGAATGCCTGGTCCTATGTGGATATTTATAATGATAATTATCTACAATTTTGATATTAATTTCGATTCAATCAGAGAGAATTATTTCTCATTGTCGTTTGGCACTGTTTACTGGTTCTGAAGGCTTTTCGTGAGCCTAAATTTTCCAAAGTCGACAAAAATATGAACGAGGACTTAACACTGCATGATGCGGTAGTATTTGGTTGCACATCACAAAACCCAATCACTACCCATATTTGAACTGCGTAAGCCATACCACTTGATTACAAGTAATTTGTCAGTGCCTATCAAGTCAGAAGGCAGCAAAAAACAGATATTGATAACCCTTCAGTGCCGCTGCTCGACATCAATAAGAAATAACACTTTTTTTCATTGCTGAAATGAATAACTGAATGAATTTGTGCTGAACTATATGCGTGAATCGAGTAATATTATCAGATATCTGATAATACATGGAATTAGTGCACCACATATTAACTGCAGGAAACTAACATCTCCAGATTTGAGCAACTGGTTCCATAGCGTCCTCTAATTTCGTCAGTCCGAGAGGGGTGCTCCCGTTAAAAACCTCATCAGTACAACATGTTCTGACCTAAGGCGTAAGTTATCGCTCCTAAATTTGGTTTTCACACAAAGAAAAATTTGCTGATTTCCAGTACTTACCGTTATTAGCTAGTAGTGGCCATGTCGTCACACTTTTTAGGTTATGTACGTGCGACTTAGATTAAGATTCGCACCCCGCACCTAGATGGAATGCATGGAGCACGGAAATATCGGCTACCAGACACAGTGTAGTTACACTAGACGACTGCAGAAAGGGACATATTTATAGAGGAAGCTTGGGGAGTTTTGGAGCTCGCCTGGTTAACTAGTGCACTAGTTACTAGCCGGTCCTAAGCCCAGATAAAGAGGGAAGGTTGGGCATAGGGCTAGCAACCCTACCTGGCAAAACTAATCCAATCGCTAAGTAAACTTCAAAGCACAAAGAAAATATAAAACATAGAAACAAACGTATTCCTCGCCGGAATCGGAGTGGCGAAATGACGCCGGTCGGTCAAAGCCTTCGGGAAGCCAATTGACCGATGTGTCTCCTCTTCTCTCAATGAAAGAAAAAGTAAACATGGGGATATGGAATGTCCGCACTATGTATGAACCTAGCAAGGCTGCTCAGATTGCAAAAGAGATGAGGAGGTATGGCATGGAAGTGCTTGGAATCTGCGAAAGCAGATGGAATGGAAGTGGACTCTCCAAACTGTCAACTGGAGATTCGATAATCTACTCCGATATTGTCACTCAGACGACAACCACGAGCACACTGAGGGAATGGCTATCCTGATGTCCCCATGAGTATCAAAGGCTCTCATACATTGGAAACTAATCTCCTCATGAAAGATCATGACAGCAAGGTTCAACTCAAAAGGAAGGAAAGTCACAATCATTCAATGCTACGCACCTACAAATAATGTAGAACAAGAGAAAAAGGAGGAATCCTACAGACAACTGCAGTCAACACTGGACAAGACTCCAGTTGGTGACATCAAAATTCTAATGGGTCGAGTTACATGAATGCCAAACTCAAAGCGGACAACATAGGAAGAGAACTAACCTTGGGTCGAGGTCTCGGCGAAATGAATGAGAACGAAGAACCGTTCGCAGATTTCTGTGCATTCAATGAATTGTGTAAATCTCAGTAATATAGATAATAGACCAAATTGGCGTGGTAATTCATGCTGTAATTTCTCAGTCAAAGCAAAAGCAATGCGAATACTATGCCGAAATCATGATAATAGAGTGCGGAATATGCTTCGGTTTCTTTTCCACTTGTCCTACCTTCGAAAATTCGGCCGTTCACCTTCTGCCCGTTATTTCCCCTTAAGTCTCTCTCTCTCTCCCTCTATATATATATATATATATATATATATATATATATATATATATATATATATTCCGGGGAAATATAACAACCTTGGTTGCAGACCATTGAGTCTAAGGAGTTCTTAGTGTTTGTGGTTGCTCACCAACCGTATGCCTTTTTTGTAGTATGGACTGTGCTCATTTGTAGGAGTTTCGTGATAAAACTGTTAGGCACTCAAACATCTCCATACTTTCAGAAACCTGCACCAAAGCAGTCAGATAAACACACCTTGGGACATATTAGACTCCATTGATTCCCCTGCATCCTTGGCTGATACAAGAGACGAGATCCCGTCGGTACGTTTATTTCCTCTTTTCATGTATGAAAATGACGGTTTAAGATAGACCTGACAGTCAGTCTTAAGTTGCCTTGCTATTCTGGACCTCGTGATGCATGATCTACACATGTCCCTAACTTTTCAATATAGTCTTATTCGCCCTACTACTTATTTCTAAAAATTGACACATTGCATTCTAGGTTCTTAAGTAACAAACGTACCGATCAGCATAGCTCGTTAGGTCATTGTCATGTGCAAACCTGACCACATCAAGGTAGCAGCTATTAGTTAGGCGTCTTATTAACCAGTGAGAATTGGGGAATGGTAACGCCTACGTAGAGTTAACTATGGAACAAACAGTGAAGTTTCATTGTCAAATTATATTATTATTATTATCATTATTATTATTATTTGTTCCTCGGGTTCCTGATGGAACATAGGGCTTCAGTAGCGCGTCTCCAGTGAACTCTGTTCTCTGAAATCTTTTGAACCTGGCTCCGCGATAGCCCACAAGCTCTCATTTCCTCTTCGCACGATCTCCTCCATGTCACCCTCGGACGCCCAACTCGTCGCTTCCCATCGGGGTCCCACTCGAGGGCCTGGCGCGTGATGTCCCCACTCGGCCTTCTCAGTGTATGCTCAATCCATCTCCACTTCCACCTGCATATTTGTTGAGCGATAGGTTCTTGGTTGGTTCGTTGCCAGAGTTCCTTGTTGCCTATTACTTCTGGCCATCTGATCTTCAGTATAGAGCGTTGGCAGCCGTTGACGGTTGTCTGTAGTTTGTTGGAAGTGCTTTATGTGACGCACCAAGTTTCTGAACCATATAGCAGCACTCACTTAACTTCGGTGTTGAAAATCTATATCTTGTTCACGCTTTATCCTGAGTGCAGTAGATCTCCACAGTGATTTCAGATTAGTGAAAGCCTGTCTTGCTTTTCCAATCCTGGATTTGACATCCTCGTTTGTGCCGCCTGTAGTTGAAACGATGCTGCCTAGGTAAGTGAGAGTACTTCCTTTAGGTTTCTCCCGCTAATGGTGATTGGTACTTGTTGTTGATGCTGTTGGTGGTGGTGTTGATTGGGTATCTTCATCACCTCTGTCTTCTCTGCATTCACTTGGAGTCCCATCTTCACTGCTCTGTCTCTTCTGCCAACTTGTTGGATTTCGCCTGTAGATCTTCAAGTTTGCGTGATATCAGACACAAGTCATCGGCGAGATCCAAGTCTTCTAGGTTCTTTTGTGCGGTCCAGCGTATCCCCCTCTTCTCACTCCTCACTGTTTGTTGCATGATCCAGTCAACCACAATCAGGAATATCATGGGTGATAGTAGGCAGCCTCGTTTCACTCCTGTCTTCACTTCAAAAGCATCACTGAGCTTCTCATTGTGAGCTACTTGGCATGTGGCGTCTTCGTATAGTTGTTGAATGAGGCTGATAAAGGTTCGCGGTACTCCGTAGTGTTGAAGCAGTTGCCTGCCAAATTACTTCTCGGTCGACGCTATCAAAGGCCTTCTCAAAGTCGATGAAGTTGAGGTAGAGAGCTGATTGCCATTCTATACTCTGTTCTATGATGATGCATAGCGTTGCGTTGCAATTTCATCCATACATGAATAGTACTTCCTGAAGCCTGCCTGTTTCGGTCGTAGTTTTGTATCCAGCGCATCCTTTAGCCTCTCCAGGATGATGCGGCTTAATATTTTGCAGGCTTTTGGTGGACGGGAGAGTGATTCCTCGTCAGTTCTTGCAAACACTGAGGTCTCCCTTCTTCGGGAGTTTGACGAAGTAACCCTTCTTCCAATCTGCAGGTACCTTCCCTTCCTTCCACACCTTCTGCAACAGTGGTGTGAGCATGTCCGCTGTTGTCTCTGCGTCTGTTCCCAGTGCTTTTGACGGGATTTCATCTGGTCCTGCTGCTTTCCCACATTTCAGTAGCTTTATGGCGTTCAGGACTTCCACTTTTGTTGGAGGATTTATGTTCACTTGTAGTTCGGCGGCTGCAGGTGGTATTTCTGGACGAAGTGCAGGTGGTGGTAGTGGTCGATTCAAGAGCTTCTTGAAGTGGTCGGCCCATTGTTTCCTTTGTTTCTCTTCCTTCGTAATTAAATTTCCGTCATCATCTTTCATTGGTTTCATCTGTGTTGGTCTCTTCCCTGATAGCAACCTGGTTATTTGATACATTGTCGTCAGGTCTCTCTTATCTGCAGCCTATTCTGCTTCGCTTGCCAGTGTTTCGTAGAAGTGTCTTTTGTCTTTCCGGACACTTCTTCACTTCTTTGTCCAGTGTAGTGTTTTATACATTGTGCTCAGTTCCTCTTGTCGTTGAGCATCCATGCACTGGTTTATCTTCTGCTTCACCATCCTCCTCTCCTCTATCAGCTTCCAGGTATCCATCGAGATCCATTCCTTGTCTTTTTTCTTCTTCCTTCCTAATACGGCTGTGCAGGTTTCTTTCCACATAGCTTTCAAAGACTCCCAGTGTTCTTCCACACAGGTTTCTTCCCGGATGTTCCTCGATATCTCCCATTTCGTCTTGATGGCTGTCATGAAGATTTCCTTTGTAGTTTCATCCTTCAGTTCCCGAGTGTTGTACTTGAACTGTGGTCTATCACCAGCTTCCTTGAAGGCTTTCAACTTGATTTTGAGGGTAGGTTCCTTGCACTAGATAGTGAGTTGTCTGAACCTACATCTGCTCCTCTTCTTGACCTTGTGTCATGTAGGCTGACTGCATCTCCACTTTCTTGAGATTGAGATGAAGTCGATCTGATTTTTAGTTTGTCCTGGTGTCTGGTGAAATCCATGTCGCTTTGTGGATATCCTTGTGCTTGAGCACAGTGCCTCCAATCACCAAATAGTTGAATGCCCAGAAATCTGCGAACAGTTCTTCGTTCTCATTCATTTCGCCGAGACCTCGACCCAAGGTTAGTTCTCTTCCTATGTTGTCCGCTTTGAGTTTGGCATTCATGTAACTCGACCCATTAGAATTTTGATGTCACCAACTGGAGTCTTGTCCAGTGTTGACTGCAGTTGTCTGTAGAAATCCTCCTTTTTCTCTTGCTCTGCATTATTTGTGGGTGCATAGCATTGTATGATTGTGACCTTCCTTCCTTTTGAGTTGAACCTTGCTGTCATGATCTTTCATGAGGAGATTAGTTTCCAATGTATGAGAGCCTTTGATACTCATGGGGACATCAGGATAGCCATTCCCTCAGTGTGCTCGTGGTTGTCGTCTGAGTGACAATATCGGAGTAGATTATCGAATCTCCAGTTGACAGTTTGGAGAGTCCACTTCCATTCCATCTGCTTTCGCAGATTCCAAGCACTTCCATGCCATACCTCCTCATCTCTTTTGCAATCTGAGCAGCCTTGCTAGGTTCATACATAGTGCGGACATTCCATATCCCCATGTTTACTTTTTCTTTCATTGAGAGAAGAGGAGACACATCGGTCAATTGGCTTCCCGAAGGCTTTGACCGACCGGCGTCATTTCGCCACTCCGATTCCGGCGAGGAATACGTTTGTTTCTATGTTTTATATTTTCTTTGTGCTTTGAAGTTTACTTAGCGATTGGATTAGTTTTGTCAGGTAGGGTTGCTAGCCCTATGCCCAACCTTCCCTCTTTATCTGGGCTTAGGACCGGCTAGTAACTAGTGCACTAGTTAACCAGGCGAGCTCCAAAACTCCCCAAGCTTCCTCTATAAATATGTCCCTTTCTGCAGTCGTCTAGTGTAACTACACTGTGTCTGGTAGCCGATATTTCCGTGCTCCATGCATTCCATCTAGGTGCGGGGTGCGAATCTTAATCTAAGTCGCACGTACATAACCTAAAAAGTGTGACGACATGGCCACTACTAGCTAATAACGGTAAGTACTGGAAATCAGCAAATTTTTCTTTGTGTGAAAACCAAATTTAGGAGCGATAACTTACGCCTTAGGTCAGAACATGTTGTACTGATGAGGTTTTTAACGGGAGCACCCCTCTCGGACTGACGAAATTAGAGGACGCTATGGAACCAGTTGCTCAAATCTGGAGATGTTAGTTTCCTGCAGTTAATATGTGGTGCACTAATTCCATGTATTATCAGATATCTGATAATATTACTCGATTCACGCATATAGTTCAGCACAAATTCGTTCACCATGTAAAATATGGACTCTGGAGTATTGCGCCGATTTTAGCTACATTAACTGACTTAAAATCGCAGACTAATAATTCGCATGCATCGTTTTCATGTGCGTAAAGTCCGCGCCAATGTAAAGTAGAATGCCGCGCTTCCAACCAAATGTCATATTGGCCTTGACCTTACAGCACCCAGATAGATTAGAGGTCGATTCCACATCTCTTACGAAGCATGTTTCTGTCAAAAGAATTACGCCGTCTTGCTTCTGAATTTGCGTCAACTCGTAGTATCCTTCGAGGATGCCCACTGTCACCGTTCCTATTAAACAGCGTACTTATGGACATAACCTTAGATACGTCTGAACTGACAGGGATTATTCTCCTGCCTGGAGGACATCTGGTTGTCTTGGAGTATACGACATTTTGTTCTTTGGTGAATACTCTAACAATATGCATGGTCTTCTGAATGTGTTGAGCAGCAATTTGAGTACGTTTAACTTGGATTTCTCTATCTTCTGTCAAATGTAAGATGATGCTCCAGGATTAATCTGCTCCAAGTACTCTCAGCTTAGTGATAGAAAGTGAAGTGGTTGAATGCGTTGGCCAATTCACTAACTTGTGGAGTTGCCTCAAGCTGGATGGACTGGCCGCTGACAAAATCTCAACTCGGGTACCCAAGACCTATTTGCCATTTGTCAATTTACATCATCTATGGCGCCGTTTTGCGAAATATCTCACTACCTGTTAAAGAACAAGTATACTGTTCCACAGTTCGTTCTTTTCTGTTATACGGCTGAGACATGGTCGTTAAAAGTAAAATATATAAAGCCGTCACAGGTTTCTGACCATAAGTGTCTTCGTAGCATTACTCGCGATAGTGGAATCATCATGTAAGCAATACTGAGTTGGCCTACAACAGCAACCCACACTTCCAGCTAGATCATGCAAGTCTTGAGTATGCTAATAAAAGTGACAAACAAATGCATAAAAAATAACATTACTGGGTGACTTGCTCCAGTGTCGTTAAATTCGTTTCTCTTCCATCTAAACACTTATAAATTCCCTCCTACATACTTAAAAGTCAGAATATTACACCAGCAAACTCAAGCCACCAGCTGTGTTAATTATCCGTATTGTAAAAAATAATGTAATTTAAAAAGAAAGTAAGAGACAACCCACTGAAACGAAACCTTATTTCCAGACGATGTCATATTTTAAAGCTTTACAATTATATTCAAATTTATCAAAAACAGAATCTATTATTGAATAATAAACCAGAGTTACCTCATCATAGTAGCTCTAGAGACCAGAATAAAATGTATCCTAGAGACAGGTCAAAGTTGTGCTGACATAATTCGATACAAGCAACTGGGAAGTTAAAGGATTTTACCAAATAAGTGGAAATGGTTAGTGGGTGTAAATTCAGCTGTTTAATTGTCTGGATGACATCAGTGGAAACAAAAATCTTGTCTTTTGAACTATCTCAATATCAGGTATATTGTATCTAAAGAATATCACAGCATTGAGAAATTTGGTGCATCCCGATTTCATGAAATGTTTAAAAATTAAAAGGAAGGATGTCATCGGTAGCACTTCTACTAAAATATACGTTCTTTTGTACTACAGCAGTTTTCTGCTGATGAGGATTGATGAAGTAGGTTTAAATCCCTGACAAAATGTTTGAAAATCATTTATGTGTATCACTCAGCCTCAGCACAAGTAGTTATGAAATGCTATTAGAAAGATGACCATTACAAATAACGAAATTGATATAATGTGAAATTTCTCAGTTAATACGTTTTGTCTTTTCTACATGATATTTGTTTTCAGTTCCTACCAGCTTGCATGTTGTGCTAACTGTTCTGTTCCGATAGCAATTACTACGTTTCTAATGACTGATAATTGTTTATCGCAAATAAATGAATTCAACCGTGTTATTTGGGGAGGTTCTGACGTTAAGACAGACTTATTTAAGCGTTGGTGTCAAGGTGAGGAATTTCATGTTATAATTCTGTATAGGCTTTTCATTTAGTCCTGTTGAATTTAGTGCTTTGATACAGTCAACAGGTGGTCCATGTGCTGTTATTGCTACTACTCAGGCGACTATTATGTATGAAATTTTGTTTGTTCGAAAGCAGAATTTGACTGATATCACAGGTATACGTTTGTATTTTTACAAGCTTATAATGAAATAGATATTGAAAATATGGACATACTACTTAATGCACTCTTAAGAATCCTTTTACTGGTTTCATGTGATTGTCAAGCTCACTTTTACTGGGTTTACTGGTGCGAAAGTGAAGAGGCAGGGGTTATCGACAGGTCAGTAGAAATGGCTTCATCGGGTCAAGGTTGGTAATAAAGAATTTTCAAGACTGTTTTAGCTAACCCCAGTACGCCAAATGAGACCTCTGTTTGCAGTGACTTGAAGGATTCTAATGTGAACCAGCCAGACGATTATGCTTTCCAGAAGTTCACTAGTGGGCTAAGGTAAGCTGATTACTTATTTCCTTAAATGTAAGGTGTCGTATTATTATCCCTACAAATTTTAAGCAGTGGTGACTTAGATTATCGAGGATACTAATCACCGTCAGTAAGTCATATGATCCATTCAAACTGGTTGCGTTGTTGATCACTTAATTTTTAAAGAAGTTTTCATAGTTGTGGAAAGATTAGTTCCATTGTATTAGTTTCTAAAATCTAAACAGCTACGACGCTTCAACATCTCATTGTGATTTAGAAGCAACAGGTTTTTATAAAGCCTGGTAGGTTCCCTATATCTTGAAACGTATATGGATTACACATTCAAACTTAATTAGAGTCTGCAAAAGCTGCATAATAGCCGGTTCCCAACTATAAACGTATTATTCAGGTGTAACTTGTTATCAATTAGTGGACCATTCTATCTACAGAGAGTTCTACATAATCGCAGCTTTAGTCAAATGAAAGATTGTCCAGCAGTTTCTTCCAAGATCATTGAGGTGAATAGAGTTTTTCAAAGATATCTTCTCTTCACTTTTCTTACAAGTGCCCGACTCGAACGGAACTAAAACTTTTTCCATACCAACTTTACAATTGTAGATAACCTGAGATGAGGTATTTGTGTGGTTAAAATCAATAGTTGGGCAATTTCATCTATACACCACAGTGCCGATCATAGTAATCACCTCTTTTCATCGAAAGTCTAAACATTTTATGAATTTGATATTCACTAATTCTTGTTCGAACTGGCCAAGATTCTGCATTGAGCGAAATAATGCAGCTGAAGTAGTCTTCCACTGGTGTTACATTATTCTTACTCAGTGCACATCTATTCAAAAAAGAACATATTTATCCAATAAGCATCATGGTTTCATATCACTAAACATAGTGACTATTGTTTTCTGTACTTGGTCAGTTTAGAAATTAGCTAGGTCGTAAGTTTTCATTATTTCATAATGTGTTCCGTCCAGAAAAGTGCGTATACACAGAGTACAAACTCACCATTAACATTTTCATTTTTCTACAATTTGTTTGATCTAACTCACCAACTTGACGAAAGATAGTGGGTTTTCGTGTTAATTTCGTTCAAACAAAAGAGGGCTGAATCACCACTTTTCATAAATTAAGATTTCAGTCATACAATCGGCTAAAATTGCATGACATTCCGCAGTTACATAAAATCTGTGATTGTCAGGCAAATCGGGGTAATCGAACACCCAATGAATGTTGACTTTATCCATGCGAAATCCATTGCTTCTTACATCGAACGTGGTTCGCTAACATCGCTTAAGCTAGCTTGTGTCACCATTGTCTCATTCTAAAGTTTTCCTTATGTAAATTTAACGGACACAGAGGCAACCAATCACTAATTCTTCCTACTCGTACAATACCCATAAGCGCGAGACCATTGAAGAACACAATAGGGTAACCAGGTAAGAATAGCATATTTGATAGACCGTGCCAAAATATGGGTATGTTTTGACTAGATGGCACAAAAGCAACGCAGTGTAACACGACTACGTGCCAAATGGCATGGTTGCTTGACTGCGTGCCTTCAAGTTAGCGAGTCCGTTAAATTGTGAAGATCAGCATGAATACCGAACCTCGTCGAACTCTAGGCTATTGATTTTGAGGAATTACCTGGCGTTACACTTTGATAAAGGTTACTGCTCAGTTGCAGAGTGGATGTACGGATGCATTGCAGTACATCGTACTGCTTTTCAAAATCTACTACCTCCTACTTACTGAATCACAACACTGTTTTGCCATCAACGCTTGTTTCTTTTCGAGAAATAAGTTACGCATGTTATGTCTTGGTCTGGTTGGGAAAAAGGTAAAAGTGACCAGAGTAAAACATGGCATCAATGCACAAAGTCTCTGGCTGTTGATTCGAGCCATGTATAGAAATTTAAACGTCCCATTTGAATTCTGTGAGACAGATGTAAACCATGGCTAGAGACTGTGTGATATGGTTCGAGAAGGATATCAGAAGCTCACATACATCCACACATTGTCTTAATCTGAACTGCCATAACAAATTTCGTTATTGGCTTCCGTTCATCTTTTTGTTTTTGTGGCTTTTACGACCATATCTTTCTATTATTTGGTGTTCGTCTTTTTACCTTGTCAATGCGACGTGGGCGCGTATAACCCGGACACAGTGGCAGGTTTCATGTTGATATCAACTGACTCGCTTACTAGTAAATGTGATTTATAAGAATATTGCAGTCAAACCCATACATCTTTGGTATATTCCTCTCTAAAACCGTCCAGTATAGAGACGTGTCTCGGCCTGTGTGTTCGAATTCCAACTATTGTTTTATAATATATTGACTTGTAGACTGCTTCTTCAGTATTTATCATCAGGACATACTTCGTTCTCAACAAAAATATTTTGATTTCACTAACGTGTATACCAGACGTATTCTGTTCCAAACTGCATATTGCCTCCGAAATGAAGATGATGATTTCGGTATGAGTTATATTTAGATAAATCTCAGCGTGTTTGAAATACAAAATTCCTTTTCGCATGGAAGTCTGGTCTGAGCATAATCAAAATCTATGTTGTCATATATATATATATATATATATATATATATATATATATATATATATATATATATATATATATATATATATATATATATATATATATATATATATATATATATATATATTTCCCTGCAGAAGCTAAAACCAGACTTCCGTGCGAAACGTTGGAATTTCTTATTCCAAACACGCTGAGGTTTATCTAAATATAACTCATATCTGATATCAACTTCTCAATGGGCGCCCAGTATTGGTGAAACCAGCCGGTCGAATCTTGACCAGGAATCATTAAGAGATAATGATTGTAACGAAGAATTTCTTAATTTCTATTCCACTTGTATATTTAGCATGGAAAAAATGTTTGCAAGTATCGTTGTTAATGATCTTGTTTCACATAATATTGATAACACTGTTCTTGTTTTCTGATGTTCGAATATGAATAAGATGTTCGGGGCATACATTAATTTTCGTCTTTTGTTTAGGTGTTCTGAAACTGAAACTGTTGAAGAGTTGCGTGCAATCGCCTTTTCATTGCTACCTCAAATCACATCAAAGTATGGAGTTTTATGCTTTCTGTACTCGGTTTTGTTTACCCACGGACTTCAGTCACTTAAAAATGAAATGAATGGTGAGATGGATGCTTTAATTGATCCAGTTCATGGTCATGCCAGTCAATGTTTAATTAATTTACTGATCACTGGCGAAAGCACACCATATTTATTCGATGGTGAGCGAGATCTTGGAGGCTTCAGTAAGTGTATTTCCCAACTGCATCCTAATGGTTCTGCGTTCTATCTTACTATATGCCTATTTTAATTTTTTGAGATTCCTAATTAATTACGAGATTCTCAAATTTCATTTTGTGTGATGCAATTTTGGGTTAATAAAGTAACCCTACAAGTTATTTGTTAGTTGTGTTAATGAGACTGCTCTTTACTAATAAGCAACCACTCAGTATTGATTAACTAGTGAAACAACTGAAATACTTGTAATGAGAGCTAACACATCTCTGATATCCAACTGGAGATGAGGATTGCTCGTCCAAATAGGTGAAATTAAGTTTTATTGAAAGCATAATGTTTGTATCGCAAGTATAATATGTTGAATATTAGTGTTGGCATTATTAGTATGAACTTAGGTCTTATCATACGCATAAGTGATTAGCTGCGATCCGTATCGCCAGTTCTACCGCTTTTATGTAATCACTGGTTATCCTTGACCTGTAGAAATAATACGGTAGGTATTTACAACAAAAATAAAAGCAATTGAATGATGCCTCGTTAAATGGTGTAAAAATTCATCATTATCATCTGTAAACATAAGTTTCATTTTTTACAAAAGCTCCTTAATATAAGGTGCTAATAGACTTGAACTGTACAAAATTAACTCCTACTTCTTTCGAGCATTTTTTCTTGTGTAATATAGACGTATAAGTGATCGTTTACTGTGCAAATGAATTGTTTGTTTTTCCTGATACAGTAATCCTTTCTTTTAAATTAGCCATCATTATTACACATTTTCCTAATTATATTAGTACACAGCATAAATCGACGTAAACTTGGATCAGAAGTGCATCGATCCACGTTGTCACACTTTACAGCAGAATACAAAGAAGTGGACTAAAAAAGAGTATTATTCAAGTAGATGGTGTATAAGAGGAAAGACAATTCAAAAATAAAGGTTAGTAAAAATGTTCGAACTTTAGAAGATGCTACGGAGTGAGTACAACTGCGCCCTTTTGATCGATTTTCAGCTATGTCGCCAGGAGTCTTAAACCACTGATTCCTTTCGTCTCGATGACACCACCCAGGCAGTCTGGATATCCCCACATGGCTCAGACCAAAAGTTAGGGACTTCATCGACTGGGTGCTACGTCTTGGTCTAGCCACCCTGAACCCTCTTCCAACCTAATCCAACTTCTCCCAGCGGCATGGCACGTTGAGGTAGACGGTAACTTGACATGCGCAGTACATGTCCAAGTAGTCTCAGCCAATGAAGACTGACAATCTCTTCAATCAACTTGCGTGTGTTACCTAGTACCCTCAGTAATGCTCATACGGTGATTTGACTAAACGCGATCAATGCTATGAAGACATCTGTAATCGCTTCATGTCTTCTACTTTTAACGGCCATGTCTCAACTTTTCAGTCGCTTTTCACCAAGGATAGTCTCACCATTTATTTTCTTCTCCTTGCCAGTTTCTGTAATAGACTTCAATAATTGACAAACATCATCTAATGCTGATGCCTTCATCTCTTTTGCCTTCGTCACCCATCACCGCTAGCGATCATTGAGAAAATTCCTGGTCAATTTACGTTTAAGCTGCTTATGTTTCACATCGTCCTCTGAACCTACTGGAATACATTTTCTCACATCAATCAGGTCGGATGATTTTGCGGAAACCTACTGGCTTCAACTAGTCTTTGGTTGGCAACTGCCTTCATCGTTATTTGTACAGCACCTTGAATATTTATGTCAGGCATCATCAGCATGAAAATTGCTGTCACCTTTAGATTAATGTTTACCTGTCTTCTCCCTAAATTACCTACTTGACGTTCTCATCTTCCATTCGAGCTCATAATTGCCTCGGTTTTGTTTGTTTCCTTTCATAAATACAACGGAAACTTATGCGTGCTGCCACTATTGCGCAACCGAAGTTTAAGCGGATTCTTCAGAAATAAATTATTACTGCATTAATTGGTAGTGTCCTACATTCACAAGCAGCACAGTGTAGAATTTCACATGAAAGTGCATCGGCTTAGAACGGAATGACAGGTGTATAGTAACATTGTTTTTCGGGAAAATAAGGTAAAGACATCTGTTCCCTTATTATCGATTTTCAGTCATGTTAATTATGGTAAATTCCTAAGGTATATGGGTTCTTAGCCTAACTATGTGCACCTTCCTAAGGCTCAGAAAAACAATCCGACTTTACGAATTGATATCTTATTTCAGTTTGATCACCTTTAGCTTATCAAAGTATTTCTGCTACAACCAACATTTCACATCAGCATGAGCGTTTTGCTGCCGTTCCTCAGTTACTTAGGTCGGTGAAAATCAACGAACTCGTCGACTATTTTACCCAACTTTCCCAAAAGTGTACGCCTAATTTCAACATATTATTATTATTTATCTCTTGGGTTCCGAGTGTAACATAGAGCTTCAGTAGCACGTCCCAATTTCACTCCGTTCTCTGCAGTCCTTTGAACCTGGCTCCACAACTGCCCAGAAGCTTTATTTCTTTCTCACACGATCTTCTACATGTCACCCTTGGACCCCCAACTCGTTGTTCCCTCTTTGGGTTCCACACGACGGCCTGGCGCGTGATGTCCCTAATCAGCCTTCTCAGTGTATGCCCTATCCGTCTCCACTTTCTTCTGCATACTTGTTGGGCGATAGGTAGTTGGTTGGCACGTTGCCAGCCAGAGTTCCTTGCTGCTTATTCTTATTATTCTGATCATGTGATCTTCAGTACCGAGTGAGCGTAGGCGGCAGCTGTTGATAAATCTCTGTAGTTTGTTGGAAATACTTTTCGTAACACGCCAAGTTTCTGAACCATATAGCAGCACTAACTTGACATTGGTGTTGAAGATCCGGATCTTGTTCTTCATGCTGAGTGCAGTAGATCTCCACACTGATTTCAGGTTTATGAAGGCCGTTGATGGTACTTGTTGTTGGTTGTGCATCTTCACCACCTCCGTCTTCTCTACGTTCACCTAAAGCCCCGTCTTTGCTGCTCTGTCTCTTTTGTCAACCTGTTGGTTTTGCCTATAGATCTTCGAGTTTGTGCGACAAGACACTAGACATAAATCATCATCGGCGGCGAAATCCAAATCTAAGGTATTTTCATCGGTCTCGCGTATACCCCTCTTCTCGCTCCTAACAGTCTGTTGCATGATCCAGTCCCGTCCAGTCGACCACAATCAAGAAGGTCATCGATCATAGTAGGCAGCCTTATCTTTTTCCTGTCTTCATTTCAAAGGCATCACTGAGCTTTCCATTGTGGATCACTTGGCATGTGGCGTTATCATATTGTTGTTGAATGAGGTTGATAAAGACTTGCTGTTGCGTTGCAATTTGATCCGCACATGTCTTGTTCTTCCTGAATCCACCCTGTTCCGGTCGTAATTTTGAATCCAGGACATTTTTTAGTCCCTCCAGGATGATGCGGCATAGTATTTCGCTTTGTGTAGACAGAAGTATGATTCCTCTCCGGTTCTTGCAAAGCTTCAGGTCTCTCATCTTTGGGAGTTTGACAAGGTTACCCCTTCTTCCAACCTACAGGTACCTTTCCCTCCTTCCTTCCAAACCTTCTGCAGTAGTGGTGTGAGCATGTCCGCTGTTGTCTCTGTGTCTGTTTCCAGTGCTCTTGGCGGAATTCCATCTGGTCCTGCTGCTTTCCTGAATTGCAGTTACTCTAATGACATTTAGGACTTCGGCTTTTGTCGGGGGGCTTCTGTATTCACTGATAGTTCTGTGACTCGGCTGCAGGTGGTGGTCGATTCAAGAGCTTTTTAAAGTGGTCAGCCCATTTTTTCTTTTGTTTCTCCTCTTTGGTGACTAGGTTTCCTTCACTGTCTTTCATTGGTTTCATCTGCATTGATCTCTTGCCAGATAGTAACCTGGTTATTTGATACAATATTGTCAGGTCTCTCCTACCTTCAGCCTGTTCTGCTTCACTTGCCAGTGTTTCGTAGAAGTGTCTTTTGTCTTTCCGGACACTTCTTCACTTCTTTGTCCAGTGTAGTGTTTTATACATTGTGCTCAGTTCCTCTTGTCGTTGGGCATCCATGCACTGGTTTGTCTTCTGCTTCACCATCCTCCTCTCCTCTATCAGCTTCCAGGTATCCGTCGAGATCCATTCCTTGTCTTTTTTCTTCTTCCTTCCTAATACGGCTGTGCAGGTTTCTTTCCACATAGCTTTCAAAGACTCCCAGTGTTCTTCCACACAGGTTTCTTCCCGGATGTTCCTCGATATCTCCCATTTCGTCTTGATGGCTGTCATGAAGATTTCCTTTGTAGTTTCATCCTTCAGTTCCCGAGTGTTGTACTTGAACTGTGGTCTATCACCAGCTTCCTTGAAGGCTTTCAACTTGATTTTGAGGGTAGGTTCCTTGCACTAGATAGTGAGTTGTCTGAACCTACATCTGCTCCTCTTCTTGACCTTGTGTCATGTAGGCTGACTGCATCTCCACTTTCTTGAGATTGAGATGAAGTCGATCTGATTTTTAGTTTGTCCTGGTGTCTGGTGAAATCCATGTCGCTTTGTGGATATCCTTGTGCTTGAGCACAGTGCCTCCAATCACCAAATAGTTGAATGCCCAGAAATCTGCGAACAGTTCTTCGTTCTCATTCATTTCGCCGAGACCTCGACCCAAGGTTAGTTCTCTTCCTATGTTGTCCGCTTTGAGTTTGGCATTCATGTAACTCGACCCATTAGAATTTTGATGTCACCAACTGGAGTCTTGTCCAGTGTTGACTGCAGTTGTCTGTAGGATTCCTCCTTTTTCTCTTGTTCTACATTATTTGTAGGTGCGTAGCATTGAATGATTGTGACTTTCCTTCCTTTTGAGTTGAACCTTGCTGTCATGATCTTTCATGAGGAGATTAGTTTCCAATGTATGAGAGCCTTTGATACTCATGGGGACATCAGGATAGCCATTCCCTCAGTGTGCTCGTGGTTGTCGTCTGAGTGACAATATCGGAGTAGATTATCGAATCTCCAGTTGACAGTTTGGAGAGTCCACTTCCATTCCATCTGCTTTCGCAGATTCCAAGCACTTCCATGCCATACCTCCTCATCTCTTTTGCAATCTGAGCAGCCTTGCTAGGTTCATACATAGTGCGGACATTCCATATCCCCATGTTTACTTTTTCTTTCATTGAGAGAAGAGGAGACACATCGGTCAATTGGCTTCCCGAAGGCTTTGACCGACCGGCGTCATTTCGCCACTCCGATTCCGGCGAGGAATACGTTTGTTTCTATGTTTTATATTTTCTTTGTGCTTTGAAGTTTACTTAGCGATTGGATTAGTTTTGCCAGGTAGGGTTGCTAGCCCTATGCCCAACCTTCCCTCTTTATCTGGGCTTAGGACCGGCTAGTAACTATTGTACTGGTTATTTAACTAGTTGAGGTTAATGTCAAACAAAGCTGACGAATGTTAGACGATTTACTGATGACTATTCTTACCTGGAATATATTTTCTTTCTCCGCCATCGAACAGTCTTGCGTTATCGACTAGTATACAGGAGAGTTATTTCAAGAATTATTTTAAACCTATACTGTGCTTAGTGTTACTGCGAAAACGGATTCGGAACTTCTCAGAAGCGCACAATCACGACACTATGTGTAGCCAAGCTTAGACCCATGATTTCTCTAAAAATCATCCTATTACTAACCACTTGCTGTATTGAAAATTATTAGAGTCCCAGACAGCCATTTCAAACTCCTTGGTTTTTCCATGCCTCTCCATTTGATTTCAATCTCTGATGTAAACTTCTCTGAAGTGGAGCGATCCCTACAAACCACCAATCGATAACTAGTTATTAAAAGAGAGTATTTTCAGAGAATCTCGATAATGCATTCAACAGTAACATTACATAGTAATCTCTGGATCACATCATCGAGTTTACTATAAACTATTAATCACTTATTTTAAAAGTGACACCAGCAGCAGCAGTTCTTAAGATCGTTTACATAAAGGTTCTAGACCCTCTGGCTGGGGTCCGCAAGTATGCCAAAATCGAAGACTTTCGAAGTTAAGCCTAGGTGTACTACACTAGGAATAAAAGTCATTTAGTAGGATTATGGACCTTCGCTGAGGTTGCTTGGATATGTGTTCTGCATGCCAAGCCACGCCTACCTCCACTTACGATGTTTGTGTTCGATCAGGTTAAAGTATCTACTGTTTAAATATCAACAAACAACGGCCTGTTTCTGGAGGAAAAACGATATAACAGGCATCTGAAAGTACACTTTTCTCAATAGGCCATAGATAAGCCAACTCATGACATAAAAATTAGGGGTTTTTTTTGAAGTGAAACTTCCAACTGGATGAATTCCCCAGAATGCTCCATGCTTATCAAAATTGTTGTCCGTAAAACTAATCAGCTAACTTTCTCCCCCATTTATGCTTCCTCATTTTCCATCTGTTAACTTTATCCCTCTTAATTGTCGTTTGTTTTTCCCATGAAGCTCTAAAAGGTGTATCTAAACAGCCGAAGACTGGTTTTTTGACCTTCGTTGAAGCAATGAGGTATTGTGAAGTCGGGTGGTTTTTAAAGAATCCCTACTACCCAGTGTGGATTTTGGGTTCAGAAACACATTTAACTGTCCTTGCATCTCCAGACATGTCGTTAGTGTCTAAAAATGTGAAACCGGACAACAATTTATCCATATCAAATGTACGTCGAGCTGAACTTGAGTTCGGTTATCTAAGTCCAGACCAAGATACAGGCGGTTTTCTCAGTTCATCAGATCTGGAGAAGTTACTAATTAAACTAAAACTTTCTACAGGATCCCTTTCGTGAGTAAAACACTCTTGATAGTTTCATATTTTTGGGTTTTATTTGTTTGTTGATGGCTAGTAATGAAATCCGGGAAAACGGGAAATCATAAAGTAGAAAACGACAATACGTTTCCTCAAGCTCAACCTTTCTGAATCGTAAGAAATCTTATGATCTTTATTATCATCTTACAAGAAGCTACTGAGCAGCTTAAATATGAAGTCTTCAGATACCTGCATCGCTTATACTGACAACCCACTAGTGTTTACGAAGAATGTTGCAAAACTCATTTCATGCGTTTGGCTTCTCGGAATTTTTTTGGATATGTGGTTGTTAGTTGGATAAGCGTCTCATGCAGATATTAATTTTTCACTCGGAGTAATGCGTTATCGACATCAAAATAAGACCAGGCATTACTGCATAAGGTTAGAAGTTGCCACGCAGATCAAGAGGGAAAGTGCAACGATAGAAAATTAAGAAATAGAGAAGAAATCAGTCGGATGTGACAGGAATTTGTGATTGGATAACAAGAAAGGGTAGGAAAAAAGTTAAAATCACTATGACGATTAAGATGAAAAATGTGTTGATATAACCTGCACCGCTGGGACCGGTTCTAAGTCATGTCACCTTGAGTCTCTAACCCCTGGTTCCTCTTGTCACGTGGACCCCAACCACGAAGTCTACATTTCCCTACACAGCTCAGACTAACAGTCAAAGACTTCGTGAACTGATGCCATTCTTTAGCCTGGCTGCTCCTAACCTTTTTCCAGCCAAAACCTACTTCAGCTGATATCGCATGATGAGGCAGACGGCGACTAGGCATGTGTACATAAGCCTCAGTCAATGAAGGAGTACAACCTCATCGATTGACTTTACTAAGGCTTTACATCTGATTTCTGCATTACTCACATGGTGACACCACGACCTATACTTCGATGGTCAAACACCTATACTTTCAATGGCCATGTTTCACATCTATACACTAGAACAAAGCAACCTTCAACACAGTACAGCCGACCCTTAATAGACAATCAAACATCGTGGCCGCCCCATAGATGCCATACATTGGGAAAAGCTATTCAAGACTTCTTTATCTATACAGAGATCTCGTTGGTCACTTATCTACCGAGGCTGATCCGACATCCCAGGTGAGTGAAATGTTCAGCCCAATCAACCGCTTCATTCCCTGTAGTTATGCAGGGCACTGCTGAAGACCAGTCCCAGAGCAACAATTCACATGTGGGTGGTGAGGAACGCATCCCAAACATTCTCAAACTGCCGCTCAAAGCCTCTGAGAGACCGCATCTTGTCAGCGTTTTCACCTAGTAGGACTATGTCATCTGCGAACACTAAAACTACCAAAGATTCTCGTGAGATATCAATTCTTGTGAAGTCAAACGTAAGAGAAAGACCTCCATTAGGTCGTCTATGATAAAAGCAAATAAGAATAAAGGCAGTTGATGTCTTTAAAGGACACAATCAGACGCACACAACTCACCATACGTTTTAACAAGTCTACGGGTGTTCGAGTACAAAGACTTTAACAGAGTGATGTACATACGCGGCACCTCTTTCAGTGAGAGACATTACCATAAGGCCTTGATCCACAGAGTTCAGTTTCACCTTCAGGTCGGAAAATATAGCTCATGTCAGGAGTCTGTGAGTGCACCTGCGTCCCCTTTGCTGAAACTACGACAATCAATCATTGAGACCAGTCAGAAGGATCTTATGTGACTCTCATATATTAGTTACCATTGTAGTTAATTTGACCAATAATTCTCTGCCATCTTTCTTAAATACTTTTGGTACTAGTCCATCTTGCCCTGCTGCTCTTCCTCATTTCAGGTTGCCTTCAGCTTTCTTGACTTCTGTAGGTGTCTTGGGTCCTACCTCTGTGTTCTAAACAGACGTCGGTTAGATAGTGGGCAACGCAATAGTAACCGGAGACCAGTTGAACTGTTTCTCAAGGTGTTGTGCATATGTCGCGTTCCGATCATCCCCTTGCGAGTGAATCACTGACTCATCCTTCTCTACTACAGTTTGTCGCACTAACATTGACCTTTTTGTTTCAGTTTCCTCAATAAGTCTAATCAACTGTTTATTGCTAATTATCGCTAGTGCCGTTTCCGTCTCTTCAGCCTTCGGTGCCCGCCACTGCTCTCAGTCATCGTGTAGATTCTTGCTGATTTATATTTGAGTTACTTCCACTCCTCACTGTATTCGGAGCCTGCACTGATGCGTTTGCGTGCATCCACTAAATGAAAAAAGGTTGCTGATATCTGATGGCATCTTTTCACCTCCCTGAGGGTCGGCTACAGTCTTCATCGCTTTTTTTCACAGCAGATGGGAAATACTAGCAGGCTTCTTCGAGATGGGTGATCTTTTAACATTCCGATAACTGTGAGGCTAGTTTCTCACTGGAAGCAGTCGTAGTGCTCTCATCGTCAAGCTGTACGCATAATGATCTTGTTTCCTCGCGTCGATCTATGCACAGAGATACATGTGACAGAAACAACGGGTGGTCACTATTCAAACGTGGGCCCCAGAATCAGTCGCAATCTTCCACCGACCCTCTCCAGCAATGACTGATGCCAGTGCGGTCTAGCTGTGTCTATCGTTGAGGTCGGTGGACACAGACAATGTCCGTCTCTTCATGTTTGGAGTTTGTGGTGATCAGAAGGCGACCAGAAATAGACGGTTGTCTCAGCACAGTTGCACCAAGTGATTGTCGTCATATGATCATTTGGTTGTGATTTGCAAAGTTTCTCCTCAGTGCCTTTCTGTCTGACTTAGCCTAACCACTTGTGCATTGAAATCACCTGCAACAACTACGACGCCTGAGCGCTTGGTTTTCGGTAGAACTCATCCTCCACTCCACCCGAACTGTAGTCAGTGGATGTATAAAGAGAGATTACAAAGAAACAACGGCGGGTCCCACTACTCCTTTTAGTCCTCACTACGCAGTCAATAGAACAGAGCAAAGATAACTGTCAGTCGATCAGTAAACTGTCTTTACTTTAGCACTTAATGCTATGCTTACACCTGCGAAACCGCGAGAACTGGTTGTCGAATCTCCAGTAACTCGATGGGTGGTTTTTGCGGAGTCGATGGGTAAGGTTAGATGAATAACAGCACTTGAGTCTCGTATCCACACAACACATCACTGGTCCGAAGTACTAAAGTTTTGGCCAGCGTGGCGTGTTGGACAATTTGACGGAAGGTGTGGACATTGACAGCTCCAATATGTAGTTTGGAACGTAATTTTAAGAGATCAGGGATGCTGTTCTGTGAACTCATATCAAGAGTTGCAGAGTTGGAAGTAATGCAGAAATGAATCCAGAATTTTTACCGAGAGATAAGAAGAACAATTAGAAGGTAAGGACATAGGAGGCTGAAAAGGATCTAGAGTTTTGGCGGTCATGTGAGGTCAGTCGAGAACTTCAAAGCTGCTTATACCATGGGAGGCTTGTTTTCCTTAAGGTACCTGAAAAGGAAGGGTTAGCGTGTGACCGCAGAGCCCAGGGGACATGAGCTTGAAGCGGTTTCATACACGGCCTTCTACGAAGTTCGAGTTTTTGATTTCGTCTTCTAAAATCTGAGTATGAACCATATTAGCTGCACCGGTTTGCCGCAGGGTAGCGAAGCTTTTCTACTCCTCCTTTCCATAGGAAAGCCAGTATCTGCATGGTTCCTCACCCGTGAGAAATATCATACTGAAGTCACACCCCCGTCCAGTCAGCAGTGGGACCTCGTCCACGGATCCGGAATAGCGTAAAGACTTACTCTATAACTGCCTTTTTTCTAACCACTATCCTTAACCCTTCTAGTGTGATAAGATCTCGAGGGGAAAAGCGTTCCGGCAGCATAGCTCTTTGAGTCATTGTGATATGCAAGCCGGTCAAGGTAGGAGCTATCGGTCGGCACTAATACGTAACTTAATAACACAAATATAAATATATCTGATTTCAGTCATTTTAAAGAACTTGACCGTTTGATTATGCCCGATATATACTTTTCCTGCAATTAATCGGTTTTTACAACCAAGATGCAACAGTGCGTATTTATGCTTAATGCAGCATAGAACTAATTTGTTTGTTATTGTGAATTGAGTTTCAAAATTCCATGTTTGCACGCAACGAATAACTCATGTTGTATACGAATACTTAGTCCAAATGGGTTTTTATCTTTTTTGTTGTAATTCCCAACTTTTTTCCATAAACTCACATTGGCTCATAATACGTAAAACACTTGCTTCCCTTACCGCATATATTGATTTAATTTTACTTTTGCCTGTTACAGAATAGACGATTTAACTGCAAAGTTGGACCCTGAAGGCTTGGGAATAATTTTGAAAAAGGATTTTTTACAGTTCTTCTTCCAGAAGAGATGGCCAGACGATGTACAGAAGTCAGCAACTTTCAGCTAATTCATTACAATGGTTTAGAACATTCAAATATCGATGGACAGGTGAGTGGTTATGAATTCTCTTCAAATGATGATACTTAAATAATTATTTGCTTATAGTTTTAAGGTAATAGCTTGGATTTATTTTAGACACAACAAATATATATTAAAAAATGAAATAATCAGCGAAGAGAACTCTTTCCAACGAATTTATTCTCAAGCTGTACATACTGTGATATTTAAAGACTGCAATCCATGAGGAAGATTAAACCTAAGTAATAGAAGATCGACATAACAATAATGGTGGTTATCATAATAATGTTGCGAGCTGATTATGTAAAGGTTGAATGATAACAAAAAGGGGTTTTAAATCGTCCATAGGGTGTATATAGATTACAGAGGGGTGGAAACATGGTAGCGCTAATAAACAATCAAAGGACTACATAATATGAATCGGACACATTAATTGAGATAAACTGAAAAGTTGCAATTATTGAAAATATTAAATGAACTTACACCAGAAACTATTAAATGTAAAAATAATATTGATAATAACAACAATTAATCTAACAAAGCGAAAGGTCGGAAGAAAAAAATAAACCAAGATCAAATTAAATTAAGACCAAGGTAAAAACAAAGACTATACGTACTTCTTTAGCATGCAAAGTTCATTTCATCGACAGTCAATCCCTCTGCTATTTTCAGAGGCGGAAGATGGAGAAAACATGAAATGTCTAAGCGAACCCGACTCTTTGTAAATCATTGTTAGGGCCGGTTGAATGGTTAAAATCGAATACACGCTTAATGCTTTTTCTCACCCTTATAAAACCAGGCTGGAATATGTTCTCGATACGTCTTGACAGCAGTCTCTGGCTACGGTCAGTGTATATGCTTCACACGAGTAGGTGAACTGGTAGATGTAGTTGAAGATAGCTTGTCGAGGGATATTGTTTTCTACATATACAGAGAATAATTTACGGCTAGCAAACATCAAATAAAGTTTGACTGTGAAAAATGTTTTGCTAATTGGTCTCAAAAGACGATCTTTCACAAAACCTGGTGCTACATCACCTTTATATTTCAAATTCATGAGCAAAGTGTTTTTAAAAACTGAGTTGCTGACTGGTTTCACATCTCTTTTTCGCATGCTTTTATCAAGAAATCGGCTGGGATAGCCACTTCCTAAGAAGTCAAGTTTAACCTGCATACAATCTGTGCTACAAATATTTCTTATTCAATAGCAGAGCGAGTGAATGTCTTTTTTCTCATGGACAACACACAACTAGTCAGCTGTCCGTTCTGAATGGATCTTTTGCAGGAGAGATCTTCCTAGTGTTTTCATCGTTATTTCTTGATTAACACGTCAAGAAAGGGAATATCTGATTTCAATCCCTTCTCTAGGGTAAACTCAAACGCTGAGTGACAATTGTTAAACCCGTGTAGAAAGTCATCCAGATCGATATCCGCGTCACAAATAACATACATCATCTATGCATCTTTTGCAGACGTCAAGATGGTCAATAGTTTGGCTAAGCTTAGGATTTTCTTATTTTGACACAAAACGATCTGCCTTCAAAGGTCCCAATAGAGATTCCGTAGCAATCCCATCATTTTTAGAAATTGCATATTAAAAGCGTCTCATCAAGAGCTGTCTGGTAGCTTATTGGAATTCCTGCTTCTGCATCATGTGAGTTGATGTAATCGCGTATGTAACAGACAGTTCCAGTGAGTGGTATACCGGTAAATTATGAGTCAACATCTAAAGAAAATATGACTTTACCGGTGGTGTCAACATCTTTAATGCTATGAATAAACTGAAATGTATCACAAGTAGAATGATAGTAACAATCATAATGTAATATGACATCATCATAATAATAATAATAGCTTTATCCTAAACAAGATTTGCGGTACAGTACAGAATTCTCAGCAAATTCATTCGCCGTACAATATCTTTAAACTATAATCATTGCATTTAAATGTTAATAACAGTGATCAAAGCCACAATATGAAACAGGCACTTGCTATTACATTACCACCATCTGGTTTGAACTGTCGAACTAATAGAATATCGCGCGTAATTTTGGTGGTTAATTTATTCAGTACCGAAGTCTGCAATTCGATATAGTTATCCAAAGCATTGTAATATACTGTTTCTGTGCATTTATAAGCCCATCTCTTACCGGTGTACAGTTTATTCCGTGTTTTGTTGTTAGCTTGAAAAAAGGCAGTTGGGAACCATTTTATAAAAGTGTGCAAGAGTACTTGACGCGTTTAAAAGACTTATTTAGAATATTTAAACAAACTGAAAGGGGATAATTTGGTGAGATAAATTCGGTAGGAAATTTTCCGTAGCCCAAAGTTTAAGCAGGCTGCCGACAGGAAACTTGCCTTCGAATTAGTTTCAATACTTCAGTCAACCACCGGGCGGTATAATAATAAGGAGAACCGGACATATCCGAAATCGGAGGATGAGGTAATCAATACTGAAGTAGACTTACTGAACCCACGGGTCGAATGCGTTCGTACAAATCAGAGAAAATTAGTGCCCATCAACTTCTTCAGGATACCTGTGAGTTGAATCTCGATCTGTTGTTTTATTCCTTTCACCTTCAGGTTTATCAAATTGCTACATGACGGAAAATCGGACAAAATCCTATGCTTGAAATCCGCAACGATATAGCGGTGTCTATTTCTTGCATTCGCGTTCCACATGGTCTAATAGATATACGAGAAACTGCAAATTTTGTAAACAAAACCAAAATACACTCAGTACTCATGCTTGCAGTAAGCGGTGAGTCACACCTATTGTGTGTAGGCTAACGATACTACCTCGGCAGTAGGTGAAGCGGACTTCGAACCCTGCCCCCAGTGGTGGGAAGTGCCTAGACAAACTAGCCACAGCTTCGCTTTTTGTAAACAGTGATGATAATACGATATGTCGCAATATAATATTCAGTTATATGATTGTCTATGATTAACATTCTGAAAATTACACTTTCTATACAAACAGGTCCGATATAGTATTGGTGAAGCGCATTTAATAGATCCTACGGAAGAACTAGTCGAAACTCAGCCTGTTGATCGAAGTCCCATACAACAGTGTTTAGCAACAAAGTGGCCTACAATACGCGTCAAGTGGAATAAAAACAGAAGTCCATCTTTGAATTAAATTAGTATTATAATAGGAAATTACAACTACCTGAACGCTTTCATATCCGATTTATGACTGTACAGTTTGTCTTGAAATAGAACTGTTTCTGCGCACACTCTCACTTTTCAAAATCTTTAACCGTCTTATTGTAGCATTTGCTAGATCCCGATATATGCTTGTAGTTTTCAATTATGGACTAGAAATGATGATTGGTCCACCATTGTCACTAGCACGTACTGATTGTGGATCAATCAGTATGCGAGTAAGTAAAGGCAGATTTGTAATTTCAGCCAATCTTTCACCTCCAGACATTCCATTCTTCCGGTCATCGAATAATGCTTCACGGTGACCACAAGGTGGACATATGTATCACTCATATTCTCGACTATGCCAGGAATAGGGATCTGTCAAGGGAAACGATGCATATGGTAAACACTGCATAAGGTATCAAAATTAGGACGTAATAATGTCCATTATTAAAATCTGTTACCACTCAATATTCTACCCAAAAATGTCAAAAATAAAGTGACTATTATGAATATGATTTCAAGTACTGTGGTCATTCTAACTGAATTGGCACTGTAGAATCTAATCGTCACAATAATTAGTAAACTCAATTTTATACATATCTGTGTACTAAGCTATGAACCACACTGGTTGTATGAGGGCTTACAGATACTACCAGGCTGGAGTGGGATTCGAACCCTGAAATTGAAGTTCCTAAGCCAGTGAGGTAAATATTTAGCAACAGTTATGCGTTTAATTACTCAGCATATTGCTTCTTGATTTATTGTTCATTTGGATCAGCTTTGAAAACTGTGAAGTTTTTCCGGGCTATTTTTGGAAATACAGTTAACTTTTATCATACAATGTTGGCAACCATTTTATGTAATTACAAATTCCTACAGTGGGTTATAGGTCATGTCTGATTTCTAATTATCAGTAAGAGGAGCGAGGCTTAACCGCTAATGGCTAAACTACTAATCTTGTTAATGAACGCCTCTAAACTAAGTGTTCTAAAAATTATTTCACTTGGAAATCCAATATCTTATGAAAGGAGACGAAACCCATATATCTAGATAAAAAAGACGATGTAGAACCTCACACCAAAGTACAGTGGTTGGAGTTTGTATACTTCCCAATGACAATAGAAACAAATTACACAAAAATAAGGTGACATTGACAGACAAAATCAACGTGGAACCTTGCAGACAAGTGCATCTGCTCAAGTTGCCACAATTTACAGTAGTAAGTGACATTGTAGCGAAATTAAAGATATAAAACGAGACAGATAACAAATGTTCACTGTAATAAATCTCTATCCATGTCACCGACCACTAATTCCCAGGACCATAGCGAGGTAGCCTACGTGGCTAGTACGAATGGTTAATGATTTCACAAAGTGGTCACATCCTCATTCGATCGTCCTATATCTCTTACCAATCTAGCCGTATTCCACTTGGAGTCATGTCTTGGGGTCCGATGCATTACACAATTACCATTTACCCTAATCACAACAGGTTCACACCATTAGTTGACTCGCATTTCTTTTCGAAATCCGAAGTTACACAGTCTTTGTTCTCACTAGAGTCTAACGAAAGTTAAAAGACCCATAAAAACGGATGATACTATCGCTCCCAAACGTTAAGCTTCAATACCGTGCAGTAGGATAGCCCTATGTAGTACTCATCATTGGATGAACGGTCGGATATCTCACCGCAGGTCGGTAAATTCTTAATATTTCTTTTGCATGGATTTCTAAATTCAGTTAGTAGCTGGTATCCTACAGATGTGTCCACCCGAACATGTGAACTAGTGGGATCCAATCGAGTCTACAGGACTGATTCAACTTTCTAAATAAGAGTGGTCAGTGCGCTCAGTCGATTCACTCTCTTTTTTAGTCTATTCATTGGAAAAGTCACAGTGAAATAGTATCATTTACTGGATAACGTTTCGGATATAATCCACTATCTATATTCATATCATGTCATAAGATAGAAGCATGGCTTATATGTAGTGGAAGCACAGTTCAAGGACTATTAGTTTCCACTACGGATTTAATGGAACAACCAACATCAGAATATGGACACTTAATTATACAGCTCAAGACCCGTTGCTGCAGTGTAGCTGCATCCACTTCTTTCTTTATGATAATTAGTAATTGTTACATTCTTTGAGTTCACCATGCACTTCCTCACCGGTAACATTGTTACTTCTGTTCACGCTTTGTCTATTTTCTATGAAAGTAATAAGGAGGGACGTGATACTGGGAATGAACTTAAAACATGAAATAACAAGGTGTTATCCAACATTTATTTCTAAATGTAGCTCAACAATCTGGCACGGGCTGGTCAACGAGCCACAGTGTGTCGGACTGATGACAACAACCAATTTCTCATCAAAATGGGTGCAATGACTTGGTGACCATATACCTTAACTACCAAACCAGAAGCTCCACGACTGGAATGATATGGAAGTCGATAAATGGCCTGATGGTAACTACGATTTTCACACTGTAAACTGTTCGAAATCTAATGCATGCACCTGATAACTGATTTCCATTTCTGCATCTTATGGATACAGTGATGAGCGATCTAAGAACAGCTTTCCAAGGCAAGTGAGAATTAACATGTGGCGAATGGAAGAAACTTACATCAAGCTTTCGAAACAAATCTATTCCTCTGCGAGCACCTGCAGTAGCAAGGGCTTGTGGAGTTGTAACAACAAAGACTCCTTGAATAGGGACATTTTGGCAAATTGAGACTTGCACGTCTCCTGTCCCTGGAGGCATATCGACGATGAGTGCATGAAGCGGCCCCCAAACCACCTGAAATTATCACAAGCAAATTTTCATTAAACCTCAAGTATAAATGAACCGACTACTCGATGAATATTTCTCGATATTTTTTGTAGCTGGACAGTGTTGTTGCAGTGATATAATCCACTGGACTTGACAAGAACAAGAACTGACAGTTAACGTGTAGTATTGTCGGAACAGCCAATCACTTTCAGCAGACGGCACTGCTTGGATGGAATTATACTTAGTCAAGGATGGTGGAAACATTGCACCTTTTAGAAATGGAGTTATCGAAACACTCACTGATAGAGATTGTCGAAATTGTATCACGCTGAAAACCTATCTGATGCAATACAACACAAGTAAATCAACTACATAAAACCTATTTGATTTTATTGGAATTGATTTTTTTACCGAACGCCATACAACCTACGGTGAACACGACTGTTTCAAAACTCAAAACAAAAGGAGTGGTGATTACGTTATTTACAGTTTCTAATATAAGTTTTTGTGAGGCAGTAACCTTCAGGGCTATCTAAAAAATGCAAGTAAAGGACAAAACGCCAACATCTCTGAACTTAAATTCTCAAACTGAAAAGATTGATTAACACTTGATCAAACTATTCTCTACATTGGCCAATGAGCAGACACAAAACGTGCCTTGATTCACACGGTTTAAAATAGAACCCCACAGATTATAGGACATCTAATATCAAACAAATGTATATAGAATTGAATGCACTGAACATTTTTTAAAAGTAATTCAATGTATTCACTGGTTATCTAAAAATGATAGTCCTACATTCTTTGAATTCAATAAAGAGTTATGCCACTTTGGATTTCCGAACGAATGTAAGTTTAAACGAGATTATGCATACACTTTTTTGATGTAGACTGCCCAGAGAAAAATGTACGCTGAGCAAAGAGTCATACCAACTGACTGTAATTTGAGAACTTGGGTTCCATTATTTGCTAAGATGTTTATGTCAGACGGTTGGGCATTCTTTTTCCTTTCAATAATGGATATCCCATAAAGTTCATCAATAAATACTTTAAACCTACGAATGAGAAATTGAATGATATAACCCTACCAAAAGGAATTTGTTCATTAGCCTACCATTCAAAAGCGAGGAATTTAGTTCTCCGAATAATTGCCAATTGAATCCGGCTGCGAAGTAAAAAGTTGTCTATGACACGAAGAACATGATCAGAGGAACTAATTTAGTTGTGAGACCCCCTCATGTTACCTTCAATTGTATTTATTTATTTACATGTACTTACTATGTCGGAAGAACGGAGAGGGTCCTTACTAGACGAATCTCTAAATATGTACCGAAAAGCCTGTCATTGAGACGTGGTAGGCTGTTAACCAACGCCGTTGGCAAGCAAATCCTCGACACGGGTTATACCTTCGGCTCGGACATAGCTTATAGGGTAATCAATAGACAAAGAAATAAAAGGTTGCTACGTTCTGCACAAGCAGCAGTCTGTTGACTGAAACCAGGCTCATGTGTACAAAAATAAGTTTGTGGTTCACCTTGCATTGCCTTGGTGAGTTGTTCTTTTCCTACAGCTTTTTACCATTTTATTCCTCGAGAAACACTGAAAACAGACGCAGAGACAACAGTGGACATGCTCACACCACTACTGCAGAAGGTTTGGAGGGAAGAAAAGGTACCTGCAGATTGGAAGAAGGCTACCTTGTCAAACTCCCCAAGAAAGGAGAAATAAGCCTTTGCAAGCACTGGAGAGGAATCATGGTGCTGTCCATATTAAGCACAATATGCCGCATCATCCTGAAAAGACTAAAGGATGCGCTGGATTCAAAACCACGACCGGAACATGCCGGCTGGCTGACTTCAGGAAGAACAAATCATGTGGGGATCAAATTGCAATGCTACGCATCATCATTGAACAGAGTATAGAATGGCAGTCAACCCAACTCAACCTCAACTTCCCCAACTTTGAAAAGGTCTTCGATAGTTTCGACCGAGAAGTAATTTGACGGGCAACTGCTTTAACACTGTGGAGTACCACAAATCTTTATGAACCTCATTCAACAGCTATATGAAAATGCCAGATGCCAAGTGATCTACAATGGAAAGCTCAGTGATGCCTTTCAAGTGAAGATAGGAGTAAGACAAAGCTGCTTATTGTCATCGATCATCTTCCTGATTGTGGTCGACTGGGTCATGCAGCAAACTGTGAGGAGCTATGAGAAGATAGGCATACGTTGGACCGATGAAAAGAGCCTGGAAGATGATGATTTATGTCTAATGTCGCGCAAACTAGAAGATCTACAGGCAAAAACTAACAAGTTGACAGAAGAGGCAACAAGACGGGACTTCAGGTGTGTGTAGGGAAGACAGAGGTGATGAAGATACCCAGCCAACAACTACAAGCACCAATCACTATCATCAGGAGTAACCTAAAGGAAGTAGTCTCTTTCATCTACCTAGACAGCAACGTTTCAACCACTGGTGGCACAGATGAAGACGTCAAAACGAGGGTTGGAAAGACAGCAAGAGAGACCTTCATCAACCTGAAACCGGAATGGAGATCTACTGCAATCAGCACAAAGAACAAGATCGGGATTTTCAACACCAACGTCAGACAAGTCAGTGCTGCTATATGGTTAAGACGCTTGGTGCGTCATGAAAAGCACTTCCAACAAACTACAGACAATCATCAACAGTTGCCTACTCTGGCTCGATACTGAAGATCAGACCAGATGGCCTGAAAGAATAAGCAACAAGGAACTCTGGGAACCAAGAACCTATCACCCAACAAATATTCAGAAGAAAGTGGAGATGGATTGGGCATACACTGAGAAGGCTTAATGGGGACATCAAGCGCCAGCCCAGGCTCTCGAGTTGAACCGAGATGGGTGTCTGAGGCGAGGGTGACATAGAGATCGTGTGGCGAAGAAATGAAAGCTTCTTGGCAGTCGTGGAGAGAGGTTTAAAAGACTGGAGAGAACAGATTGCAATGGAGGCGTGCTACTGAAGCCCTATGTTCCACTAAGAACTTAAAGGAATAATAATTATTATTATTATTATTTACTATTTTATTCTTTCATCTTATTGCCTCAAACATTATTCATATTCCCGTCATTTTCAATTCACTTTAACCCATTATATTTTAATTGTGATTTTTAGCATTTCCTTTTCCGTAAGTCTACCGTTAACTCATATACTTTGCATAATATCATTGCTTTTCTCCCCCTTCCATCAGAATTCTTACCACCTTCAGCTGTAATCACATTCCTGTACTACTACCAAGTCATATTTTGCTTTATGTTTACTGAGAGATGTTAAAGTCTGACTGGTTGTGACTTGTTCCGTGTATTGGTTGTTTAGATCGTCAACTTTATCATTCATCTATGTTCCCATATACATGTACTGATGTTTAAGTTCAAAGGATGTATTTGGAATTGCTTACTACTGAAATGTATCAAACGACTAATACTGCTCGACACTGATAAATTACTGTACACAGTGTTTAGATTTAGTGCTTATTTGGAAGATGTAGAGCACATGAAATGAATTCAATTCATCCTACAATATTTGTTGTTTTCGCTTCTCAAGAATAATAATAATCCCTCTGCAAGGTAATATCTGAAGATGCCTGCATCTTTTAGTGAATTATTTCAGCATGTTCCTCATATTTTGTCCAAAATGTTTTTATTCAGGTGTCAGAAAAAGTATGCTTATTTGTAACTGCTACAGCCATCTGGAAGTAACTAAGTTCAACTTATACTTGACGAGAATTTTATTATGGACGAAAAAACTAGGGTTATATTTGTGAATAGAAACCACAGTAGTGTATACAAATCAGTTTCACTGACTGATATTCTGAGGGAATTCTTCTGAGTTTTTTTATTTATTCAGGTGGCTTATATCCCAGATCAATATACGCTGTATGACATGGGCGGCCAAAAACTGTTCAAAGAACACTTCAATTGAAGTCTTCATTGTTACCATGCAACAGTAGTTCTTCTGGATAGGTGGGCTGTTCTATCTCTTTGACGTTTCCACAATGTTTCTAATTTTTCACCAACTTTGTCAAGAAAGACTTCATGAGGATCACGAAATTGAAGCTGATGCCTCTAATTTTAGAAAAATCATTCAGGGATATGAATTTTTTATAAAATTACTGTGAAACACTTCTCTCTGTTTGGATATGGTTCGCTTGGAAGGTAGAGTTTCTTGTTCCATTTTTCTGATTGCTCTAATGGTTTCAAGAAAGATTGTGGAACTTTGCGTATGATTGTTTCGTCACAGTTGATACCCCATACTATATTAGTCAATCCGTAATAATCATGATTATGCTTACTTTGTTGTCTTTTCTTCAGAAAATTAATATTCATTGGATCTTTTTCATAGCTTGTGATAAATTTAGGACATTTGCTTTCATTGGTTGGTGTTAACTAAGTGGACAAGTAAAACAGATTGACTATGTTGAAAATGTTAAATATTCAACGGTCAAATCAAAAATAGGGAAATAACTTCCTCTTCATCAGTCGACACTATGAAAAGTCTTTACCAAATTCTGATTACTTTCATTCAAAGGGATCTCATAGAGAAATGCTGAAAGTGAATTATTTTCCTCGATTAGATGAAATTATGTAAGTATCTATCAAATAACATAAATTCCTCTAATTCTTGAATCACTACCCCGACTGCTTGTTTCGTTTTGATGGGCAAAGTAAGTCCAGATAATCAGATGGGTGAGCTAAAACCATTGTTACTTTAAGTAAATGGATGGAATGCAATTCGGCATCCGCCTTGAGTCTCTAATGTGTGAAGGTTGATAATGCTAGTTTACTATGAAATCACGTAAATAACTTGATGAATGTTGAATACCTAGTCCAAAGAAGCACAACATCATTGTTCAAGAAATACAGTCACCTCAACATTACTGAGGTATATTGATCATTAGCAGATGTAAAGTGGCCTTAAGAGTCATTTGGTCTTCAGAGAAAACCACTCTTTTGCTAGAACTGAAGGTCTACACTAACTGATAGGTAAAAGATAGACAGATGCGATCAATATACGATAAGGCAAGGTGCATAATGGTCCAATTTGCAACACCTCATATCAGTACATCAGGACAGAAAGCAGTAAGATGTAAAATATAGAAATGAAGAAAGAAGAAGTTAAAAATGATAAAAGGTCGTGATACGATAACAAGAAGAAATAAGAAAATACTGAGTTTAGTATGATAATTAAGATAAAGATAATGTGTTTGCATCTGCGGCAATGAAATCGATTCTGAGTCATGTCACCTGAAGTCTCCAACCACTGGTTTCTGTTATAGCGTGGACCTTAACTCAAGATTCTGAATTTTCATACATTCATTGGTAAAAAATATGGCTGTTTGCTCACTGATCATTGTACTATCTCTCAATGACTGTTAGATATTTGGTAGATATCTCATTGTTCTGAAATCTAGAAAATATCTTCCACACATAAACGAAAGCTTATTTTTCTGTGAAAAGATTATGTATAAGTATTCTGTAAGTGCACTGAATAGTTCCTGAAGAGCAACCAACTGCATTTTGTCTAGTTCTAAGTGCTGATCGCATTCTATCAATCATTTTTTCAGTGTGGCCAACAGACAAGACGACTAATTATAGCGATGCGATTCGACAGATTTTAGTTGGGTCGAGGCAGTCAGCCCGAGTAGCTCAGTGGTAACATTTCCGACTGCAGCACTGGTTGACAGGGGTTCGAATCCCAATAAGGAGAGAAGTTCCATAGAGGTTGCAGACACACGTTGCTGACGAGTACCAAAAAGCACGAAACCTAGGTTCATCAGAGCTTCCTGTCGATAAAAGTAGGGAAGCAAAATGCGATATGGTAGAATGAGTTGGGAATGTTGTACAGGTTCGGTGATCAAGTGATCAATGGAACATAGTCAGAAAAATCGGAATGATTTCGAAAAATACTAAAAAAATCAGTTAGTGAAACCGGAATAAGCTAAACTAGGATAGATGCAAGTTAAAATCATTGAATTATGATCAAAGTTGAGACAACGTCAAAAAATTAGGCATATTTTAAAAGTGGTGTTAGAGTTATTATTACAGAAATTTATTAACGAGGTAGCTGAAAATTGAAAGCAAAAATCAAGTTTTAAGCCTCTATTTGCAAACTTCAGTAGACTGTCAACTGATTACCCCAAATGCATTTTCGATGTCGATTCCATGGTCAATGTCTAGTCGATGTTGAGCTGCTGAACTGTTGATCCATTCTGCTCCTTCTGAGATTTAAATTTCTAAGCAAACATCTAGTGAAACAAATGAAGGTTCATCTTTAAGTTCACTAGATGTTCCAGTCTTGCTGAAAGCATATGTATTGGTAAAAGAAGTTCGAGGGGGAACCGAGCAAGTACTTATCAATCTTTTTTTGATCTTCTGAACAATGTCTCTTATATAACGTTGCTATTTATGTAGCTGACAACATTGCACTGACTGATACCTTCAGCCTCTGATGAATCTCAATAGCAATTTGATTTGTTTTGATATTCAGTCCAGTTAATATAGACTTCTTTTCACCTTTTTTGATTACCACTCTAATAGACGGTTGCTTTCGACACTTTATCATAAGCCATTTTGATCAACCGTTTTCTTGAAGACATTTCTCTGTCCAAGAATTTTCTTCTCTCAGTTTCTCTGATAAGCCTAGTTATCTAGCTCCGTCACAGAGTGTGGTTACCAAACCTCACTTGCAACTTACTAAACAGAAGCTTTAAAACTCAACATCATCTCATTCCATGTATCCTTTCAGTAAATAAACCTTTGATATTTTACATGGGATACCTAGATCTAAAAAAGGGAAGATATCATCAAATTGATGCCGTATTGTTGTAGTGATGCTAGGATCGGTCTTGTTAAATATTTCTAGTATGTTACTCGTATGATTCATATATTGCATGCAGTAAAGAATTAATCAATCCTTACATTTCATAAGGTCTCAAATCATGGTGTCATCTTCTCCGGAAGGCAGTAGGTGTAGCCATCAGGCTGAAGAAACCTAGGCTGAGTATTCTGAGGTTTGTTTAAAGCCTATTTCTTTGGTTGTCCAATGCTAAGAATAGGATATAATATCAACTTATTTCCATTGTTATTCAACTCCTTTTCTCATTATCATGTTAATAATAATCAAAATTTATTTATGACTGTTATACTTCGTGGTTTTTGTCTTCACTTAATCATTTGTTATTCCGATTACACTCACCTCCTGTTTTGATCACAGTTCAAATTCATTGTGTTTTGATTACTACTTCATACCTGTGATTACTTATTTTTGTGTCTCGTGTTATCAAACACTGCTGTGTAGTAACACGCTTCGAGAAGGATATTTTGAAGTTCTAATGAGAAGCGATGACCTATGGAGCCAGTCAGTCAGAAGTGGAGGGGATAATCGCACTATATCGTGAATTGACAGGAATGGGAAACTGTAGACCAGAAAACTGTGACTCAGAGGCTGGATGGTTGAGGCTTTCAACGTGAACCCTAAATGTCCTGAATCCGATCCCTGGAGGGCTTACGGGTGAATACTGCCGAGGAGTCCTATACTAGGACGAAACAGCTGTCCAGTGCTCTTAGGTTTTCGATGGTTCTCCTACTGATTTGAATCCGTGATGAACATTACCTTGAAAATATCTATTTCCGTTTAACTACCGTTAATTCTTTTACTAAGTAGCACCTCACCCCGCGCGAACAGTTAAATACTTGATGATTTCAGTGGCAGTTTGTAATCTATTCCAGCTCAACATCATTCTGCACAATATTATAATACTTTTAGTTTCAGCCTGAGGTGATGTTAACAGAAGTACGTTCTCATTCAATTCAATTGTCATATAAATTAAAGAGAATGATATTTTATATAGTCATATTTCAGATTTAAGAATTTCTAATGTTGGAATACTGTATGCATCTGATGAGAAACGATGAATGATTTCTGTACACGTTATCTCCTTTGCATTATACAAGTTTATATTGTTCATAGATCTAAATACATTTACGAGGTTTTAACTGTGATTGAAGTCCAAATTACTAGTATTTTGGAACACCGTAAGATAATTCTCCTGAAAAACTTCATATTTAGATCTGTATACATTCTAAGTTTTTGAAAATGTGAAAAGATTGAGAAAATTCTTATTGACTGTCATTTTTATTATCAGCTATCCACTGAGTTTCATTTTGTCCAGAAATAATTTCCCTCATAAGCAACTAGATTTTTAATATAATGTAGTCTTATCTCTTTCAAGAAATTCAAGTTTGTTTTCATGATTACAAGTTTAAATGGATCTATCTGGTATTACTTGGTGATGTTGTATAGTTTTATGTGCTGATCGAATTCTTTCGATCATTTTGCAATGTGACCATCAAGCTAGGAGACTCAACTTTTCGGTCTAGTTGGATGGATGCTCTATCGACTTTGGAAATTCTTCTTGCTGATTATCGCCAAAAAGGACGAAACCTAAGGACAGGGCTTTCTCTTCATTTCCTTCATTCAAATGATAGTCCGTTTCAACTTGATATAAGGATAGCTAGTAACAGCATTTCTTACTGCAAATTTTAACAGATCCGTAGGCCGAATGAAGGAATTTACAGAGTTGAGAAGCCTTTCTGGAGATAGAGAAGATGAAGGTGTATTTAACTTGCGCTGTACCGCCTATTAATCTTATAATCATTTATCAAATAGTACGAACGAATGATATTTGATCCACGCAATCCAGAGAAGGAGATCCAAAGTGGAGCTACATCGTACTATTACATTGACCTTCAATAACATAAGTTTTACACGCATGATGAATGTGTACTCTGTGAGGCTATATTTTTCACAGTTGGACGACGCTCAGCCTAAATCTTCATCGGCTGCCTATGCTGACAGTTCCTTCATTCATTGTCCTGAAATGAGTTCAGCAGTCGCACTAAAATCTTCCTTGGTAATCTATTGTTTAGATCCACTGCATCTGAGGTTACACGTCACATAGATTCCAATGATAATTGGCTATTAAATAAGAGCATGTTTTACAGTCAGATGTTTTGTCATTTAACTAAATTAGGTACTCATTTGAAACTTTATTCAAGTTATATCACAAGTATCAATATTTTTAGAACTTAATTTGTTCGCAACATAAAAAGTAACGTTACATTTGATTCTGGTGACTGTGAAATGCTTGTTATAGAAGTTATGCAAGACTTAAAAGCTTTGGCAATACAATGGTTCGCTTTATCAGTAAATAAGCATATTGAAAGTCATACACTTTATTGTTATTTTTTGGCAGTGACTAACAATGGAAT